GTTTCATCCTTTCTTTTCCTCATCCTCACTCTTCTTTTTCTCTCAAGTTCAAAATCCCTGAGCATGATATTTCAGGCCTCAAGGTTCAGCGCCTCGGGACGTAAAGTGCCCCTCGAGCCCCGCCGAAGCGAAGCATGCCGCTCACACAAACCCCACAAACCCCACAGTGGAGTGGTTCAGCAACACAACGGTGTCCTTCCCACTCACAGTGCACACACACACAATGACAGTCTCACATGCTCATATCAGAGAGGCACTGCCGCATTCACTAAAATGTACACTAAGCCACACACCTACAGAGAGGAAAATAAAAACAAAAGAAAAGAACAACAACAACAGGATACCAACAGCACACAAAGCACACACAACACAATAATCACAGGTGCCACTCTCATCAGAGAAAAACATTCACCCACACCAGCACATCAACACACCCGAAAAAGAAAAAAACAGATCCATTACGTGAAGCCGAAGCGGAACACTCTCAGTCCCTCCCCGCAGGTTGCAGTCACTCAAGCAAGCCACACACACCACAAGAGCAGAAATATATTCGTGGCAATACCGTGAGTGACACAACACCGAGAGAAAAGGTGAGAACAAAGAAATGTGTTTTCATTACGTGGGCGGTGTGAGTAGTAACCCAAACACACAAAGGAACACACAACAGAGGGGCACACTCAAACACCGACAACCCATCGATCTTTATACCAAAATAAAAATGTAGAAAAAGAGTGACTGCGTGAAATAGACACAATAATAGAGCAAAGATGTAACAAGAAAAAAAAAATTCATTACTTAATGTGGCTGCGATGCCTGGACACAGTCCAATCCATCCCAAGGTTAACAACGGAAAACCATTGTGTACTGAACGTGCCGTGCCCATATCTTTATTCTTGATGTCCCTGCAGCAGTTTGTATATAATGAAAGAAAGAATCATCCCACAAGAATGAACACACAAGATACACAAGGTGTATCGGAAACGCAAAAGAAATGAAACACACAGCTGCACATAATGTGCAATGAAATTACAATGAAACACACGCACACGTAAGGAAAAAGCAAAATAATGAAAACAAAACACGAAAAAAAAGCCGTGATCACCATGTGAATATGTTCAGAGGGCAAGCAACACAATTCCCTGCAGTAGGTGTGTGTGTGTCTTTCGTATAGGGCAAGCAATGGGAATGATGCACACATGATGACAGTCCACACACACACACAAGGAGAAGGAGGGTTGGTAGTGTGCGTGTTTGTGTGTCTTGAACCTCCTGCCATTCTTCACATTTCAGTCACAGCAATTAAAACACATCGGGATTGTATCCCATTCCCATGGGTAAAAGCAATAGTTAGTAATATCACGGAACACACACATCACCAGGAGGACACAGTAAATGGCGGCAAAACAGAGCCCAGAGCATAATGCCATCAAACAAAGAGGACACTCCCTTCACAAAATAATGGTTTGTCATGTGTTGAGTGTCATAGTAGCCCAATAGATTTGTCCAGCAAAAAAATGCAAACAAGAGATTTATCGTGCTGCAAGAGAAAAAAGAAGGGCTGATATCCAACCAAAAGAACAGTGCCCTTACAATGCGCCCATGTCCACTCAAACAAAGGTTAACTGTACAGTTGTGTCATGGGAACACCGATCAGCACACGAGAGTGCAACCCAACAAACACAACAGAATCAACAATAAGGGACTGTGCACCAACGCAGGACTGCTGCCGTCTTTCTTCTTTGTGACCTTTTCTGCTGCCCGTTTCGCCTCTTCCGCAACCCGTCTCTGCTGTTCTTCTTTATCCTTTTTCTCCCTCACTTCTTCTTCCTTCTGGGCCTTTTCTTGTGCCCTTCTTTCCTCGGCTTCTCTATCCCTCTGAGCCTGTTCTTGTGCCCTTCTTTCCTCGGCTTCTCTATCCCTCTGAGCCTGTTCTTGTGCCCTTCTTTCCTCGGCTTCTCTATCCCTTTGGGCCTGTTCTTGTGCCCTTCTTTCCTCGGCTTCTCTATCCCTTTGGGCCTGTTCTTGTGCCCTTCTTTCCTCGGCTTCTCTTTCCCTTTGGGCCTGTTCTTGCTTTCTTCTATCCTCGGCTTCTCTTTCCCTTTCTGCCTTTACTTCTTCAGCCAGCTTCTTTTCATCCTCCTCTCTCTCCGTTGCTATCTGTTTCTTTGCTTCATCCACTGCATTCTTCACCTTCCCATCCATGGCGTTTGCTTTTGGGTCTTTTCGTCTTTTGCGCGCTCCGACATCCTTCACAATCTCTTCAATCGTCTTTTCAATCTGTTGGATCTGGTCTTCAATCTTCTTGATATCTTCTCCTTTCTTCTCAATTGGTTCTCCAACTTTAATCGCAACTAGTTTATTCTTCGCTTCTTTCATTGATTGCTTTGCTGCCTCTACACGCCGCTGAACATGGAACTCGATAACGTGACTCCGGCCTCTTAATTCCTTGTATCTTCCCGTGACTGCCACCACCTTACCGTAAGTTTTGTTGCTCTTTTCTGCGAGCAATTCCTTTTCAAGTGTCCAATAGGTCCTATTTGTTTTTGCCGCTTTTTCATTCAAATAACTTCTTACACTTTGGTTGAATCTGTTCTCCGCATCCTCCAAACTCTCTTGTGGACCCTCGCACAGAACACCTGCTCGCCTTACATAAGGGATTGATGACTTTGTCGTGTTGACTTCTTTTCCAACCTCTAGCACCATCTCTTCGAGCTTCTTAACCTCTTCAGCCGTCGCCATCTTCACAAAATCCTTAACCTCTTCAGCCCTAGTCTCAACAAGTTGGGAACTTCCGTTCAACGAGTCCACAGCTCCGTCCCACACAGTCATACAGACTCTACCTTGTACAAGAAGCTCATACGCCTTTTCTATCCACGCCGCTGTCACATTCTCCGCCGCCACCATCTCATCATGTTCAGTCCGTTCCACAACCGCCTCAACCGGCGCCTCTCCCCCACTGCCATCGGTTGCACGGACCACACACGCACAGAACTGCAGAAGTACCAATAGGTACACCACACGTCGCAGTTGGTCGAACATCGTTGTTACAATTGTCACTGTGGGTTGTTTGGATCTGTGGTAACAAGAAAAAAAAGGAGAAAAGAGACGCACATTTAACACACAAGGCAGAGGGCACACAGCAACACAGAAAGAGAGAGAGAGAGAGAGTACACATCACATTAGCAATCAAACAGAACCCAATGAGGGAACAACAGTAAACCACTCACACAATAAAACACACCCAGAGTTACACAGATATTGAAACAACACATTGAATATTGGAAGAAGTGGAAAACAAATGGTATCAAAACAATATTAAATAATCGTCTCCGCACACACTCCAATATCTTACTCGGTATTCATACACACAAAGTGTGTCTGTATTCTCATTATAATAAAACCATTATCAGGCAGTTTGAACACCAAAATACACAGTGTACGCCCGGCAACATACAAAATCAACACCACAAATCATCAGCAAAACAAAGAGACCGTACAATAATCAACACACTTCCAAACAGAAAAAGAAAAGAAACCAATGCATGACCATAATATTTATACCAACACCACAATTGGAATCTAAAACCCACTCACTCACAACCATAACAAAAATGACTGCATACATCACTGTAATATCATGCCACTCTTTACAAACAAAGGCAACACACAATTACTCTCTCACACACATATTACCTCTTTATTTATCCTTATTACTATTATTTTATTTTTCCCTCAGAATGCCGGTTCGCCTCCTTTACTTCTCCCAGAGCATCAAAAAAAAAAAAAAATCCCACCCCCCCATTTGATGTACATGAGGAGGGTACAATCACAAATATCCCCTTCCATCCCCCACCCAAAAGGGACCCCACACACCACATCACGTTTTTTTTTCTTTTCTTCGTGTCTTTATGGATATTACTCCAATGGTACGGCTATCAACCGTACACCGTAGAGCAATTTAATTACCGACTTGCGAGTGACTCCGAAGAGGAAGATCCCTTTATTTTATAGGATCCTCAAGCTCTTGTAATATGATTTTTGGTTGTAGCCCGTTCCCAAACGAGAGAACCAGTCTACGAGAAATCCGATCGAGTAAACCCTACCAGATCTCTCTACTCTCACTTTTCTTACCCAAAACCCATCCTCCAGTC